AAGTGACATCTTCTAGAAGCCAGCCTGTTTGGGAGGGAGACTAATGATGTAGATGCCAGCTGTAGCGAGTCTATCGGAGTAGTGTGGACCAAAGGGAGATGTGGTGTTAACAGGGTGAGAATGAAATATAAGGGAAGACAAGATCAATATCTGAAATCTATCCTGCCTTCCACTCACCCTGTTAGCCTAAGAGAACTGAGGGTCGTCCCAACCATACCACAGACCCTTACCTTGCTCCTTTACAATGCTAGGTCAGTGAGGAACAAATCTCATATTATCTATGATTTGTTAGAGGAGGAAAATGCCGACCTGGCTTGTTTTATGGAAACCAGGCTGGGGGAGGATAGCAGTGTAACCTGGGTCAAAACTCTTCCAGCCGGATATACCATTAAGGAGCAGGTTAGGGAAAGTGGGTGAAGGGGGGGAGTTGCCTTGGTCCATATAAGCACTATCTCGTTGACCAAGAGCTCTATCTGGAAAATGAATCACATCAAGTGTATTTACTTGACTCTGAATGCTAGGGACAGTCTGGAGATTCTGTTGGTTTACCATCCACCCCGTTGCTTAACAGACTCTCTGGCCGAGCTGACAAAGCTCGTGTCAGAGCTGGTGTTGGAATCTCCCAGGCTTCTTGTCCTGGGAGATCTCAACATCTCCTTCAAGTGTGGCTCATTAGATTTGAAAGGTGAGGCTTGGGACTTCCATGACAGCCATGGGCTTGTCCCAACTAGTTTCAGGTCCTACAAATTGTGTGGGTAACACACTTGATGTGGTCTTTAGTACGGATCAGGAACATCCGTGAGTAGAGGTAATTTAGAGTTCTGCCCTGTCATGGACGGACCATTTTCTGGTCAAAGTGGGACTGCAGGCTACTACCCATATTCCTCTTTGGGATGGAGGACCTATTAAAATGGTCTGCCCTCAAAGGCTGATGGAACCCAAAAGGTTCCAGGAAGCCTTAGAGGGTTTTATGGTTGGGAATGACGGCGATTCTGTCAAAGCCTTGGTTGATATTTGGAATAATGATCTCACTAGGGCCATATACGTTATTTCTCCTGAGCATCCTTTTCAACCTGCTTCAAATAAAAAACCTTGGTATAGAGGACATCTTCTCCAAATGAAGCGGGCTGTACAATGACTAGAGCGCCGCTGGTGGAAACACCAATGTTTATCTGACAAGACACGTCATAGAAACATGTTAGATTCCTATCAAGTGGCGATAGATGCAGCAAATAATTTTTTCTATGCTGCACGTATTGCATCTGCAAAGTCTTGTCCAGCACAGCTCTTCAGGGTAGTTAAAGAACTAATGTAATTACCTCCTACCCTGAATTTGCTATTGGAACCTACTAAAGTTTGTTGTGACACTTTTAATGCCTTTTTTTGTAGATAAAATCTCTCTGGTAAGGGTCAACCTGGATGCAAATATTATAACAGAACCTGTAAGAGAGATGTCCAGGGACTCTGTGGACTGCATTAAACTGGATCATTTTGAGTTTGTCAATACCGATGAAGTGGACAAGCTTCTTGGAAATGTAAGGAAGACAAATGCCCTCTTGATCCCATCATGGCTGACTGCCCAGGAAGGTGATGCAGTAAAAGCATTACTATAATTAATAATTAACGCATCCTTCAGGGAGGGAAAATTTCCATCTGATTTAAAATTAGTGGTGGTCAAACTGCTTTTGAAAAAACCCTCCCTTGATCCCCTGGTGAAAAATAACTATAGGCCAGTCTCCCTTCTACTATTCTTGGGTAAAGTGATCAAGAAGGCAGTTGTCTTCAAATTCCAGGCTGTCTTGGAAGAAACTGATTATCTGGACCCATTTCAAACCGGCTTCAGGGTGGGATATGGAGTTGAGACTGCCATGGTCACTTTAGTCGATGATTTCCGTCTGGGCATCGACAGGGGAAGTGTGACCATGTTGGTGCTCTTGGACATCTCAGTGGCATTCGATACTATAGGGGGCCAGGTGCGGCCCATGGAGGCCTTGGAGGCTGCCACTGCCACCAACCCCCTGGGCACTGCGCATGAGCACAGGTGCCATTTTTGCATCCAAAATGGTGCCTGTGCTTGTGCACACATACACACGGTGGCAGGCACCATTTTGGAATGCCCAATGTGCCAGCGTCATGTGCGCCTGTGTGTCGGGAGAATTCGCACTGCACACGCATGGGGGGCATTCCCAAGGCCCCCCGCCCATGCACTGGGCGAATTCACATGGCGCACACATGGGGGGGACATTCCAAAATGGTGCTTCCCATGTGCGCACGCATGTGCATGATGGTGTGTGTGCACGTGCCCACCCAGGCCCCACACCATTCCCCCCTCCCAGCCCCCTGGCACCAAAGGTTGCCAACCCCTGCTATAGACCATGGTATCCTTCTGGAATGCCTGAGGGAGTTAGGCATTGAGGGCACTGTGCTTCAGTGGCTCCGATCCTACCTCTCGGGCAGATTCCAGATGGTGAGGCTGGGGGATAGTAGCTCTACTAAAAGAGAGCTGACATCTGGCATCCTACAAGGTGCCATCCTATTCCCCATGCTGTTTAACATTTACATGAAACTGCTGCATGACATCATCTGAAGACATGGGGCGTGGTGTTATCAGTACGCTGATGGCACCCAACTTTATTTTCTGTGTCTCTGACTGTTGCAGTGACTAAGGATGGCATCGCTCCCCTGGATGCCTGCCTAGGGTCAGTAATGGGTTGGATGAGGGAAAACAAAATCAAGCTGAATCCAGAGAAAACAGAGGTGCTCGCGATAGGTACCCCTA